TTTTTGGGAGCAGAAAAATGTGGGAATAAAAAACAGACAAACCCAAAACTAAACAAAACTAAACAAAACAACAACAAAATACAACAGAAACCGTTTATTATTTGAAAATCCAGAGGAAATGCTGACTTTGCTGAATTTTCCTGAAGACACAGTAACTCAAAGTTGCCAAAGCAGTGAGACGTTCACAGCTCTGAGTAAACTCAGTCATGTCTCTTTAGCTGAGTTTAAAAGCTAAACGAGTTGCTGCAGGTAACGCTCATGGTTTAATGTTAATGAGCTGACGTCCTGCAGGACAGACTGAGCAGCAGCAACATTAAATGCAGCTGCTATTAATTGTTAATGTTCTGCTGAACATTAAATGTGCTTCTCTTTATAATTAATGCATCAGGATGCAAATGTTCCCAGAAGTAGTCGTGGTTTCGTTTGACAGCAGCAGATTGTGATTAATGTTTGGGTTTTTATTTTTATTTGTTTCTTTTTGTTGCAAAACTCGGACAGTTTTTGTCTTGAAGTCATCAGCAGGGAGTAAACTCAGACCCAAATGTAAACACCAGGCAGGAAAACAGACAGAACAAAGAAATTATTTGTGTGGAAAAGCTGAGAATAAAAAAAGATGATAGAGAAAGAGACAAATGTTAAAGTTTAATGTAGCTGAGCGCTCAAATCTTTATTTTCTCACATTTCTGAGCAGGTTTCACCAGCAGACGGTGGGTGAATCTGTGCAGGTGATGTTTGTWTGGTAACCCTGACACCGGTGGTCTTGGTGGTCCGTGTTGTGCTGCTGACGTCAGTCACAATCAGACAGAAACCAAACACAGCCTGTTTTCTTCACCGACTCACTCCTGATTTTCTGTAACATTCCTCCTGGTTTCAGGGAGAATCTCTGAAAACGCCACAGAAAAACTGCTGAAAATACATTTTGTTGTGAACTTGGAGTCTCTAGGAGGCAGAAAAGTTTGATTTATTCTTTCCTCGTGCTGTGTAGATATTTTTTTATTCTGTTTGGGTCACATTTTTCATTCAATTCTTACTCCCTGTACAGTTATACCATCTCTCTTAACAAATTTTATTGGATGTTTAAAGGAAATATATTTTATGAGCTTTATGCATAAACTGTAAGATATTATAATCAACCAATTCATATGATTTCAATAATTTTCTCTGATGAAATAATATATTTCATGGGTGACCGCAATGG